GGGGGGAGGGGGTCTGTCAGTATATCAGTAAGTAGGCCATACATTCTACACGATGCTCTCATTTGCCATTGGCTTTTTCTTCATAGACAATAATAATATGTGAGGCAGCGTGGTGGAATCAGGCTCTCGTCAATTTTTGGACATGCAGAGTTATTAGTATTATCTTAAAGCTTGTTCACTAGTTATTCTTTGGATGAAAATAATATCCATTGATCTTGAATACAAGTTGAGATATTTGCGATAGAAGGAGAAGGGCGTCACCTGTTTTCAGAGGTAAAATTAAGGAGAAAATGACAGCCAAAGATTAGTTATTTCTTTAGTTTAAGAGTCCGTGGTAACTGAAAATTTACATTTTTAGTGCCTTAGTCAACGATTTTAAAAAAGAAAAATCCACACAGAAATCAGTTCTTTAATGGCCATGAAAGGTGTTGAGCCAAAAAACAAAAATTTGATAAAAATTTACAAATCTGCGGAAAATGCAAGTTTCTTCACTTTGATTATTTTGACGAGAGCCTGATTTCACCACGCTGCCTCACATATGGTTCCCACTTCTCCCTCAAATTCCTGCCTTAAACAATAACGAGTGACAAGTTAAAAAATAAAATTAGACATCTGGAAATTTTAATATGAGCAAGCAAAACGCAACGTGAACAAGTGAAAGAAACCAAATGTCTGAAAGTCAGTTACATGTGTTATGTTATTGACCCTGTCCCCAATTAAAACGATCACATAACAGAAGAAGATAATCAGAGGGAAAAAAAGACTTCTTTAAAGGAATAACAACGCATCTGGGAAATCTTCCAGGTGCAAGGGTGTGAACGTATTGACGTCGATCAAATCATGTTGTTTTTGGGCGTAAACTCAAACGATTCGCTTATCTATCATCCGTAAATTCAAATTGAAACGAAGTTTTTCAGTCACGACAAGGTAACTCAGCATGATATATAAGCACCAGATCAAGCTCGATTGCTGGCACATCATTTATTTGTCCCGAGTGTTCCCAAGGTACCGAAAGACAACCCACATCACGCTGACAACCCCAGAAAGCTGTCCAGAGGCACAGATCATATAACAATCTTTTATCCCTTTAGACGACGTCAGATCTGGTGGTTGTCTCGTGTTGGGCAGAGACGCTGAGAGTGACCACAAGTCAGGAGGTCAGAATGGCTCTTCTCAAAGTACTTTTCTGCGTTATCTTCGCTGCTTCCGCTGCTTTCGGGGCTCCTAGTCATCACCATGAAGGAGGAAGTAAGTGCAGCTTAGATTTTGTGGCTACTGTTTAAGATTATATA